GAGCCTGCTCGATGAGGCCGTGCTTCTCGGCATAATCGAGGATGGTGCCGACCGGGTGGGTGAGGGCTACCCCCGGCCGTTCCATCCTCGGCCGCCAGTGGCGGTCTTTCTTACTTTGTCCACCAGAGCCGTGGCGGCCCTGGGCACCCTGGCCGGCCGGGGACGGACCCGAGGCCGGCGAAGGATTTGTCTTCTTGGGGGGATGGCCCCCCTCTCTCTTGTGATTGTGGAGCTCGTCGGCGTCGGCATACAAGACTCCGCGTTGGAGCGCTTTGGCGTACGACCTCGGGGGGTCAGTGATGAGGCTCCTGGCGTACGGGGAGCTGCGGAGGGCTCCCTGGTACAAGGCGAGGAGGGTGCGCTCATCGGCCCCCTCGACCTCCTCGGTCTCCCTCGTCCACCGGTCGATGAATGACCGGAGGGACTCCTCGTGCTGCTGTTTGACGGAGAGGAGGTGGGTGAAATACTTCTTGGCGCGCTTCCTCCCGGCAAAGTGAGTGAGGAAGCGCTGGGCGAGATCTTGCCATGAGTCAATGCTTCCCTCTGGCAGCCCGTTGAACCACTCGTACGCTGGCCCCTCGAGAGTAGAGAGGAACCAACGGCAGAGGTATTCGTCGGACGCGTTCACCATCAGCATGTTGTTTTGATAACGGCTGAAGTGCTCCTGGGGGTCTGATCGGCCATCGTAGGACTTGATGGCGTTCCCCCTGTACTTCTCAGGGATGGGGGCCGAGAGGACCCTGTTGGTGAAAGGGGTCCTGGTCCTGACCTGGATGATGGGGTCACCCCGCCCTTCGGCCAGCTCCCTCTCCAGGGCGCTGACTTTGTTCATGAGTGCGTTGAGGCCGGGGTCGTTGGAGGCGCCGGCCGTAGGGACGTTGGCCGACTGCTTGGCCTCCATCTGAGCCAACCTCCTTTCCAGCTGGGCGATGACCTCGTCCCGGGGGTCCCTGTCGGCCGCGACGGCACCCGGCTGGTTCCTCCGGCGCTCGTTGTGAGCCGCGTTGATCTGGTGACGCACGTCATCCTCGTGCAACTTCCCCTTGCCCTTGTCCGGGCGGGGCTGGTCCGCTGTCCGGGACACAGACCCCAAACTCTCCCTTGGCGAGCCAGGACGAGGATCACCAATCCGTCCCGCCATCCTCTCCGAAACCGGACGACGGCGCGTGTCACCTAGCCTATTGAAGGCAGAGGCTTTTCCACGCGCTGGGGTCTGCCCGGGCCGAAGAGGGGAAGCAGGGTGTGAGTGGGACGACGCCGTGTCCTGGGCCACAACCCCCTCATTGTTGCCTATCTGGTCGGCCAGGGGTTGGGGATGAGGAGGTGGAGTGACGTTTCCCCCGGTCCTTGGCAAGAGTGCGCTGAGGACGGTGGGATTCTGAGCCAAGCTGGCGATGATAGCCGATAGTGCGGCCTGGACCTGAGGATCTACGGACGGAGAGGCCGCGGCCATAGGCTGGGCCGGGGCGTGGTCCGCTTTCTCAGCTCGTCTCTTTTCCAGGCCGAGGCGGGCGTCGGGGACTCCGCCGTTGAGTTGGTTGCGGAGGTCCGTCGTGAGGTTGAAGGCTTCCTGGAAGAGGTCCCCTCCGCCGACCTGGTCGGCCGTGGCGTCCTCATCGTGCTCCCTGGGCTCTTGGTCCTCAGGGATGGCTTTGCTGACGAGGTTGCGGTTTGACTTAGTTCTCCCCATGATCAGCGGTTAGCTGTGCTTGGTAGCGACGAAGGGTGCTAACTTGATTGTTCTAGCTCTCAACGAGAGCACCAAATGATAGAGTATATCTCCTGAATTCTAGAGAGAAGTGAGAGCTAGAGAGAGAAGTGCAATAATATGCTTCAATAGAATGAATTTGTAACCCCTATAACTACTCTCAAGGGGAGTATTTATAGAGAAAATTAGGGTTGGGCTCCCAAGCCTTGGGCTTGGGAGGCCCATTTACAACTGGACCGCTACTGGGCCGAATACAAAGCCACTAATGGGCTGTACAAGTGAGTAAGTGTAGGATCCGATTCTGGGAGGTCCTCGTGGCCGACGAGGGCACGGCCGACGGGGGCACCCGGGTTCCTTGGACTCGGGATCATAATCCGGGTTGGCTTCCTCTAGGCCGACGAGGGCGTTTGGCCGATGAGGGCGCCACTCTGTCTTGTGCTCTGTTCTTCCGAGTATGTGGGTCCTGGGGCTCAGACCCATATACTCCATCAAATACAAAAGACAAAAATGTGACTTGTTTTTAAGTTTTCCAAAAATGTGACTAATCATATCATTTATATCCTTATTTAATATTCCATTTATTATCGTGATATTCCACTTTTATACTTGGTAATAATCAATTAATGCAGCCCGGTCACCACAGTGACCACCAGCACTGTCATCCCCACCGCCTCCAGCACTGCTGTCTCCGCCAGTACCGCGCTGCCATTAGTGACCATGTAATCACTAACTTAAAAATCATAGTGACTACATAATTGTCCATTCTAATAGTGACTTCGGGCGTCAATAGTTACTAGCTTATGTAACATTCTATCAATAGTGAGTCTCTTCTAGTGACTGATGGTAACAACCTCGAAATTCGTTGTCACTGGAGTCCTCTTAACCGCAAAAATTCATTACAAATTTGGTCAGTGACCATTTCTATGGTACCAAGAGATCGCCGATCATCACAACCTTAATCACTAATGAATTCACAAACCTTAGCAATCGTCCCATGATGTCACCAATTAATAGTGACTCTCCTGCAACTTCGATCACTAATTACGAGTGACCAGCCTTTTGCCTCTACCGCCCCAACCCTACACTTGCTACGTACCCTTATCACCCTCCACCCTCCATCACAGGGTCATTTGATAGTTTGTTCATAAGCAGGTTGTACCTATAGAATCTGGGCTGAAATCTCAATGCTACAAAGCAAAAATTGATGAACGGAAGAAGCCTTAGAGTTCTAGGTTGACAACAAATTCTCTCGGCCATTCTATACCAACAGATTGTGGATTCCAATATAGATTTCTTCACAGGCTAAATCCATTAAAAATACTTTGAAATTGAAATACAAAACAGACAAAAAGCGCTTCTCATAACGTGGAGGAATTGAATTAGAATTATGGAAATACAAAAATCATATATGAGATATTAATGTTTTCCACACAATTTCGCCCTCGCCAAATTTGAAGAGAAACAAAGAGAAGACGTCTAAGGATGGCGAAACGAAGAGAAGAAATTGGGAAGAAGAAGAAGAAAGAGAGACTTTGCGGCATACTCCTGTGGTGGTTGCAGGTTCCCCGTGGTAGGTGTTGAAGCAGAGGACGGTGGCAGCAGCAATTGGAGGAAGCTGCTGCATAGGTGGGTGGCTGCGGCAATTGGAGAAGCTAATAGGCAGATTATGAAGAATGGGAGGAAATTAGGGTTAGGATTTGATATGTATAATGAGGGTGTTTTAGTACTTTAAGTTTGATTTAGTCACTTTTTTGTCCTGTTTTAAGAGCAGTCATATATATGTCTATTAAACCTCCCGAGATAGAAATTAGTTCAAATAGGACTAAAACTATGGCAAAAACCTAAAATAGGACTTGCTATGTTTTTATTCCAAAATAGGACCATATGAGTCCTATTGGAAACATACCTATTTTTGCATTCCATTCTTACCCTTCCATTAAATATGAATTAAAAATAGTCAAAAGCCATAATTAAATGTTTAATTCATAATAAATTCGGAAAAAATTCAAAAATTCGTAGAAATATAATTAAAAAATTTATAAAATTTTTATAAAATAAAAAATTCAAAAACCTTTTTTTTTAAAAATAATTTTATTTTTAAAAAAATTCATAAAAAATAGTAAAACTCCGTAAAAAAAATTTAAAAAAATATGGATGCCTTTCCCACCGCCTGTACTACCTCCCAGCACCACCACCTCCGGCCGATGAAAAAAATGCCATTTTCCCATAAAAATGCCATTTTTTCTGAAAATGCCAAAAAAGTGGCATATTTCTCTTTTCGAATGCCAACATTTTCATTTTTTCTGCCATAAATATGGCATTCGTAATGAACTTGGCATTTTTTCCCCTGGTGACTGGAGGTGGTGGTGCTGAGGCGGCAGAGGCGGCGACGATTTTTTTTTTTGAGTTTTTATTTTTTTTAATTTTTTTTTTAATTTTTTAAATTTTTTTAATTTTTTGAAAAAAAAAATTAATTAAATTTTTAATATCGAAATGTTTTTCTTAATTTTTTAGTATTTTTTACGAATTTTTATTATTTTTTATTATTTTATTAGGAATTAAAACATTTTAATAGCTATAAGGGTATAATTGTCCAAGATACACATAATTAGTCCTATGCAAACATAGTTTATTTTTTGGTCCTATTTGTGAAAAGTGAATGACTTTTAGTCCTATTTTGATAATTAACTCTTAGGATTTGATATGTATAATGAGGGTGTTTTAGTACTTTAAGTTTGATTTAGTCACTTTTTTGTCCTGTTTTAAGAGCAGTCATATATACGTCTATTAAACCTCCCGAGATAGTATTAGTGCCATTTATTCGAAAAAGAAACGTAACTTACAAATGAATGTGGGATCGGCACACCATGCGGAAGGTGGGCGAATCTCACGGTATAATTTGCGGAATATGTATAAGAATGCAATTAAGCTTTGAAACAAATTTTTCAAATGATGTTTTTAATTTCAATTGGATTACATTTTCTAGTTTGATTTGGTCGCAAGTCTCATAGAAAAAACGACTTTTTTGGACAAATGAAGTAATATATATACTAATAAGCATATAAAAGGAAAACGAATCACTAATTATGCTCGTATACTTTTGCAGTGAAACTGAGACTAGTAGCTCCATCTTCCTGGGGATTTTCGAGGAAAAGGGAAGGAATATGTAATAATTTATTTTTATTCCACTAACTTATCTAAATTTATTAGTTTTGGACTACAAATACCTATATAATTATACATACTTCGTATTTATATTATTTTAAATGTAAAAGTTAAGAGGAAATATAATTGAATATCATGGCACAGTGCTAATATTTACGAAATTACGAAGTATATATTTCACTGCATTTGATTTGCATTTTAATAATAACTCTTCCTGTTTAATCATCTTAAGTTACACCCCAAGGACTTAAGGAGTAAGGACACTAGTTAGCATTTGACTTTAAAAAGGAACAGTAATAACTGCCGGAAAGTGTCATGTCCCAACTGCATCATGTACGCTAAAACGTGCCCAAAATTGGAGCAATGCATCTGGACCTCTCTGGTCAATGATGTGCCTAGAAACTTGAAAGACCAGACAAAGAATCTTCAGAAAGTACGAAATGAGGGCTTCCTTTCCTTTGGCTAAGAGGACACAATCACCACGCGTTTCCAGCTTCACCACCAATTCCAGGCCGTGTATTCAGAAGAGGCTGGAGTGCCTTCACCACAATGCCCATGTTTGGCCTAAACTCTGGTTCATATTGCACACACAATGAAGCAACAGCTGCAAACTGCACACCAAACACAAATCAAGCAGCATTTCAATCAATTCAGCTATGCCACATTTTTCTGTCCCTGATTTTTAAGGGAAATTGTGCTAAATAGGAGTAAAAACGTTCTGGATTCCAAAATAGAACTGTCATGTTTATATTCTCGAAATAAGAGTAATTGTTGTCATGTTTGGTACTACCAGACTTTAAACATGACAATATTTTTCAAATTCGATAGTGATTACTCTTATTTAGGGACAAAAAAACATGAGTCCTATTTTAGAATTTCAAAACGTTTGTACTCATATTTCGGGAATTTTCCCTTTTTAACCTTTGGTCTTGTGTTTTTAACTCGACCGGGCTGTAAGGCACCTAAGCCAAACCACACTAAAACATCATTCTCACTGCAAAAGAATTTGGGCCACAGGCTGCTGGGCTGGACTTCCAGGCCAAGCAGGGACAAACAACACTAAAAGATTAAATCCAATTTATTGGCCAGTTCGACTCTATGTCTTGTTAGCCATCGCTCTCTCTTTAATTTCAACACAATACTAGTCTTTCTCGGTCTGGATAGAGCAAAGGAAAACAAAGCTGTTCTGTAAATTATATTACTTTTCCAATTGCCTTGGGGGGATACTCCCCTGCCAGTCTTGCATCCACACATTGTCGAACCTTGTCTTCACTGAGTTTTGGAGTAGCCTAGCAGATGTCACAAAAATATTCAGAACGTATAAACGAATAAGTGATCTCAAGATTTTTTTAGTCATCAGAGGTGTATAATACCCATGTAACAAGACTTTGTTGGCCTCTGGGTTGGGTCTGATCAACTGGTTTACGCCCTGTGAGCAGTTCAAGGAGCACAACACCAAAACTGTACACATCACACTTTGCATTTAGCTGCCCAGTCATTGCATATCTACCCATTCACAAAACCACAAGTTACAGATGCTTCAACATCTACAGCAATACAAGCAACTTCTCACAATGGAGATAGATGATGATGTGTGAATAAAATAGGCATGAGACCCATATTAGCTTACTCACTCAGGAGCATGATAGCCAAATGTGCCAAGAACACGAGTTGAGTGAAGACGTGCCGCCATTTCAGGAGACTGATTGGATGGATCAAAATCAGCAATTTTAGCTATATAATCATCAAATATTAGTACATTGCTGGATTTGATATCTCGATGCACAAATTCAACTTCAGCCTTTTCATGTAGATATTCAAGGCCTTTAGCTGCTCCTACAGCAATCTTAACTCGTTGTGTCCAGGAAAGCACAGGGCCAGGCTGTGCTCCTTTTACACCCTTCCTCCCTGAAAATATGGAAGTTGAAAGACTAAGGCAAATAGCTATACTTGGAAACTGAAAACATGCTTCAAAGTTTTAGAAGTGAAAAGTTCACGTGCTCTTTTCTAATAGTCTTACATTCTTTTACAATTAAACAAAGAAAGAGTCAATAACAAGGCATGTTTCCTTGTACAACTTAGCTTAGTTGGTATGTTTAGCATAACCAACCTATAACTATATATTTGATGTTGTTTAAAAGGAACATTGCAAATAAATTTAGAAAAACAGTCAACTGAACCAGACATGTGTCATTTACCGCTTAGAGTAGCAAGAGTTATTATCCTGGATAATAATTCGAATGTCACAAAAAGGATCGATACATACCATGAAGAATATCATGAAGTGATCCATTGGATGCAAATTCATAGGCCAGAACACGTTGTTTTCCATCAATACAATAGCCCAGTAACTCGACAAAATTTTCATGCTTTAACCTTGAAACCAAGGAAACCTGTAAACATTGAATGCTTAGTTGTATTTTAGTGAGGCAAAAAAAAGTGGTTTTCTGATATTCAAAAGCACCTCCGCCAAAAATTCATCTTCAGGTTGTTTGCTTGAATCTAAATTTTTAATTGCAGCAGCCCTCCCAGTTTTGAGGTCTCCATAATACACTCTTCCATATGAACCTTCTCCTATTAAAGTCGCGTTCCCAAAATTATCTGTGATCTCCCTAAGTTCATCAATGGGAATTGCGGGGACTGCAATAAGCTTAGGTTTCACAGCTTCAACACCACAAGCTGCTGCCTCTTTGTTGTGATGAGTTCTATCTTTACCTGCAGCAAATTAAAATATCAATCTTATGTTGAGGTAGAGTACGTAACATCCTCCTGTGCCCTGCATCTACGTGGGACATGCTGGGCATGTTTGGTTTGGACCAGTTATATTATCCTATAAAACTCACAACCATTATTTGTTTGGATATCAATAGACTCAATAACATAAAATCCCAAGACTCTGAATAGGAGCTCATATACAATATACATGTACGATTGTACAATAAAATAAATATATTATTTGAATAAAGGAAAGAAAATAATATGGAATATGTAAAATAAATATCCGTTTCAGCAAAAAAAAACAGTGTCTACACTGAGTTTTTTCATTATCAGCCAAATCAGCATGCGCAATGTCATATGTAAGTGTTTGGTAAACAAAATGGCTTAGCAAAAATTGACCCTACAAAATGAAATAAAAGTATAGATGAAGTGGTGAAAGGACATCAAGGTTGATGACAAGTTGACGTTTTAACAATGAAACTGTTATAGGAGCATATTAGTCAATAACTCATATCCTGAGGTCAAGGACCTAAGGGAGGCTCACCATGGGAAAAAATACTCCCTCCGTCCCAATTTAATAGTCTCATTTCTTTTGGGCACAAGTTTTAATAAAGTGGTTGAAAAGGTAAAAGTTGTGGTTGAGATTTGAGTATAATAAAGTGAAATGATATGGACCACATCTTTTTTCCAAAGAGAGAAACAGGATCATCATTTTGGGACATCCCAAAAAGGAAATACAGGACTATCATTTTGGGACGGAGTAGATTCATTTATTTTCCTTCTAAAAGAGTGGTACAATTTTTTAAGTCCCACACTAAGTAATAACGCAATAAGTTGAGCTGACATACGCGCTGATCTTTTCAATGGATGCTGGTCTACCCCATCAGAAATCGGATTGAAATCAACTCCCTTAAAACAGCTAAAGCAGCTCATAGATTGATCTCCTTATGTAGACTCTGCAAAAACACAAAAAAAAAACAAAATAGCTTCATTTAAGATCGAAGTTTCAGTTAGAATCTAATTTCTAAATTGTTATTCGTAGTAAGGAAACACAAAAAATAGTAACAAGAACATTGCCTTCTATAGAGAGGAAATGATTTAATCGAATAAAATAGTATAAAAAAAGAGGAGCCCCAACAGAAAGATGTTTCTCTTGTATCAGTGAACAAATGGCAGACTTCATTGTGTGTCGAAGTTGACAGCAAACAGGATAGAAGATTCAAGGTGTCGACCCTTGACTCAAAAGATGAATAGTCATAAGATAAGTAGATTAGCACAAGTTATCTTCTCCCATGCGATTCTAAAGTGCATGCATGTGCACATTTTCACTTCCTTCTATGTAACAGTATTGAAAACAACAATAACATCTCTCTTTGATCTCAAACATAATGTCTTTCTTTAAATTGGAAACCCATATGACTGTTTGAGGATCTTTACTAAATTCCCAGTATCAAGCTCTTTAATGTTTTGGAATCTGATACTTATATCCAACTAGAGAAACTACAGTAAATTTTCCTATAAAAAATAGACCAATCGTAGCATTTGGCAATTGATACAACTAGCCATGAGTGTCAAGGAAGTAACTAGAAGCTGTAAATTGGGAAAGTTTAATCAATGATACAGTCTTTGCTCTCTTAGGCTCACTGAGGCAGACATAATTTCCCCATTCTTTAGTTTTGTATTAGAATAAGTAGAGTAAGTAACTTCTGACTTACGTTTTTACTACTACAATGGATGTTACCAAAAGCTATGGCTTAGAGAAAATTTACAAGGTTCATCCAAATAACCTCTACCAAACAGAACCTTACCTAACATGAAGACGCTCATAACGCCCGTCTCAGGATATGCCTGATCTGAGTACGTTTTGTTGGAGAAAATGTACTTTGTTCAACTCTAAAATGAGGTGGGATGAATGGTAAACACGATGGTAAGGACTGAAAACACTGATTGGGTATGTGCTAATGAGAATAATGAGATGATCCCCACACAATAAACACAAAAAACATAGTGGGCCTGCCTGCCATACGGGATTCGGCAAGTTGGCTTGCGCAAATGCAATTTGAAATGAGTGTGAAATGTACACCCCACTACTGATGGATGAGTAGTATGCAGTTCAGATTCCTGTCTACTTTTAGGGACAACGAGCATAGTAACATCATCACATCGAACATCACCAACAATTCAACACACAAAAAGAAAATGGACTCGCGGATAAAACCTGCTCGGGAAATGTCAGACGACAACTGTGGAAAGATGAAGCCAACCGGAACCTGGTACAGTGGAGACGAATGCCTTCTTCAACGGACCGAGAGGATTGCTCCCGCCGGAGTGATCGGGGTTTTGATTATTGAAGGACCGAATTTCCAAAGGCGGAGATTAATGCGCCAATCAAGCAAGATAATATGAACAGAGCGGGGAATACTTGCAGTAAAAGTCGTGATTAACTAGCTGCTAATTGTACTCCGTAATGAGTACGGGTAGGAGATTGGGAATAACAAAAAACAATCAAGGGGATAATTAATAATTTATGATTGCCTTGCAAAAAAAATTATGACTGAATGATCTTCTATAAATTATTGAACTCACTAATGATTTTGACTTCTGTTACCCAACAAAACATAGGTTAAGCGTTTGTTTTTAACAAAAATGATGTTTCAACTTACTCTTATACACTTTTGTATGCACTCAAAAAGCTTTTTTTGTCTGTGAACATTGTTTCACAGACAATATTTTGCAGAAACAAAATATGAGTTCACAGATAAAAAAAAGGTAATATTAACCCACATATGACTAAAATTTAATGTGTTTCCCAAAATATGACTTCTATCTTTTTTCTTCTCAATATGATAGTGTTTCGTATGTATAAAACTAATATTTAATCATATTTTGGGATGTACAAAAGTAGTAGTCATATATTCTGAAATTGTCAATGTTTTAGTCATATATTAGTAAATATCCCTAAAAAAAACTTCACAAACATGGTGGGTATAAGATGGGTATAAGGGTTGGTACATCAAGCATTGTTGTTTTTTTCTAATTGCAAACTTGCAACACGTTTAAAACGAAAAATAATGTCGGTCCGTTTAAAAAGGGAAAAAACTCTTACTTCCCGTATAAAACGTATTTTTCCCGTATTTTACTAAGAATATAAATATGAATTGATCAATTGTAGCATTGCAATTATTAAATATTAAAATTAATTGCATGACGGCTAAAGCTAGCATTCCGTATTTTACAAAAAAATAAAAACATGAATTGATCAATTAAATGAACGCATCAAATGAATAGAAGATCAACAATAGTTTACAAACAAAAAAGAAAAGCTCCTCTATGTGACCTCATGTTTTTGTATTGTTAAAATACAATTGTTAAATATTAAAATTAATTGCATGGGACTAAAGTTAGCATTCTAAAAGACTAAAACTTAAAATACTACTAGATTTCTGATGTTTTTCTAAACAAGCATGTCATAATTAAAGTTTTTTTAAACCTGACATTTTTTAGTATAAACTTTTACACACAAAGATTAATAAGCGCGTGTAGCAGTTGCACAACTTTTCTCATGTCATCCGTCATCTTGATGAAAATGATGAATTTAAATTGAGTGTTATTTGATGAACATATAAAGATAATGATTTTAACTTAGTCTCATTCTATTTTTTTTGTCTTATTTGTTGACATCAGTTTGCAAAATCATGTCTTGAACTTAATTAAGATTTTTATTTTTGTCGTGGACCTATGCAATTACGAATTATTCTTTTATGTATAATGGAATTTGCTACTTTAATATGTGTATATTTTTATTTCTTTTTACTATATATGTTATCTTGTAAAGTATATAATAAATAATACCCCGTATTTTTTGTCCGAATTTTTGTAACACTTACCGTGTTATGCATGTATACGTATTTACACGTTTTTTAAAAGTCGTTTTTTTTTGACGAATTTTTGACCATTTTTCAGTAATGTTACCGAATAAAACGCTTACGTATTAAACCTCGTTAATTCTTGTACCGTATTTAACTAACTATGTGTACTAGTGTGATTATACAAATAAAAGAGTTCCCAAAATTACTAGTAGAACTAATATTTATCATTATTGTAAATAAACACAATAATAACATACCACTTAGTTAATGGCTAAGTAGTTATAAATTAGATTCTGCAAATGCACAAGCTAGTATATTAAAATAGTTTATTTATTACGGAGTAATATTTTATTTATACTCATCGCTAATAATTTAATGAAAAATTATTAAAATGTACAAAACTATACTAGTACTCCCTTTGCCACGTTAGTATTATTCCATTTTTTACCTGTCCTCACTTAGATCGTCTCATATCAAATTCGGTCGGATTTGTATGATTCAAAAATCAAAACAATTATTATTTTATTTTTACTTTATCAATTCAATGTCAACAACATAAAAACACTTTAATTTTCTTGGTTACCGCACCCCGATTTCTAGTATCAATGTTAGGGGAACTGAGGCAGAGTAATAACTAATGAGTAGTAACTAGCAACGATTATACTCAGTACTTGTTATGACTATTATTAGTACAACTACTACTATTACAATTTTATATTATAATCATTATTATTATAATTAGTAATATGAATATTACTAGTTAGACTATTAAAAGTGGTTCCAACTCGGAATTGTCTGATTTAGAATCGGGACTAGCGGTTCAGTTTTCATTTATTTGGGAGAACCGTACCGAGCTACGACGCAATTCCGATTCTGGTTCAAATTCCGATTTAACTGTAAATCACAAATAGATTTGTTTGAACATTGAGAAATATAAATACCTTTTAAGTGGAGTACGAAAACTAGTAGAGTAATAAAAAGGAAGTAAGACCTACACAAGAGAAGAAAGTATGTAAAAGAAGATAGAAGAAGATAGAAGAAGAAAAAAACGAGTATAAAAGACGATAAATGTACAGGGTCGATCCTAAGAGTTTTTTGGTCTGAGTCTAACTGTAAAAAAAGGCCCTGAGAAATTTTTCGAGAGAAAAAGTTCATGTTCGGAATTCCTGACAGGGATCGTCGTCCGGACATCGGTGTTTGGACGTCTTCCCAGTGGAATTTTTTGTTAAAATATTTTATCTCATATTCCTTATCAAGTCTAGTTTATCCACAAAAAATTTAGTTAAAATTCAATCGGGAAGGCCGTCAAATGATATTTGGAAGATAACTACACCAAAATAACATATAAAATGCAGTTAACTTCCAAAAATTATTTGAAGTCCTTTCCGATTGAATTTTAAGCTGAAATATTTTGTGGATAAACTATAATTGATGAGGAACATTCTATAAAAAATTCCTTAAAAAATTCCACAGGGAAGGCGGCCAAACGCTACCGTCCGAACGGCGGTTCCTGTCAGAAATTCTGGACATGAATTTTCCTCTATATAAAGGTAACTAATAATAAATTTCGGGGCCCTAATTTTTCCCCAAATTTGTGGGCCTCAAACAGTTGTCAATTTGCCTCATATAGAGGTTCGGCCCTGTAAATGTAAGAAAAATATATGAAAAAATCCGGTGAAAATTGTTAAAAAAAGAAATGGATTAAAGAAGTGTTTTCCATGGAACTTAAAACATTTGCTCGTGCAACAACATAGGCGACCCAGTTTGACACCAAACAGCAAACTAGGACATGCTTACTAACAAATACTCCGTATATTTTACCGAAAATTGGAAAAAATGGGAAAAGGAAAACAATAAACATGTTTACCGAAAACATGTGCTGGAAAACTGGAGAAAAGAAAACGGGAAAATGGGTTTACCAAATCAATTCCAAAACAAAAAATGAGACATATCTTTGTTTTTCTTAATAAATTGGAGAAGCAGGTTTTACCAGTTTTCCAAATTTGAAATACACGAATGATGTAGTGCATGTTTGATCTGGTCGATGACCGGTCAGTCCCTGTCTGATATGATCGATGACTGGGTGGTCCAGAACGGCCGGTCAATGACCCGACGTTTCCTATCCGGGTTGGTCGATGATCCAATGGTTCGGCCCCTATTTTAAATCATTTGTTCAAAGTGAAAAGTTTCAAAAGACTCATTGGGTTGCCAACCAATAGGGAAAAGAGAAAAGAATTAGTGAAACTATCCATTGGAACCGATCGGGACCGACCGTCTTGGTCCCAACTTTCGTATACCCGATACCGCGTACCCTACTTGGGCTGCTCTAGGTTCGATTTCGGATCGAGACCATACTTTCGGTCTTCTGGACGGTCACATAATCGGGTGAAAAAATTATGATGGACATGTTTTTACATTTGAAAATGGAAAATGAAAACATAAAACTGGAAATAGAATAACTTAAAAATCAAAACAAAAAATTGGAGAACGAAAAACAAAAAAGAAAACTGAAAAATGTCTCGATTGGTAAACGGAAACTAAAATTTTCATATACTTTTAGTAGCTTCCTAAAATTTTCATATACTTTTAGATACTTTACCGCTTGAACAATTTGAAGTGCATCTGACCACTAGTATTACTATTCGAAGGTAGCGGGCCTAGTCTCCAACATAACTGATCTAATATCGAAATAAGTTCAAGGAAAAAAAAACTTAATTTTTAATACTCGGAGTACATTGTTTTTTTCTTCGAGGGTGTATTGTATTAAGAATTAGTTGCAAAATTTTAAAAGTTTATTGATTTTAAAAGTTTAGGTGTATTCAATGTGGACTTTTAAAAGTCTACAAAAGTCTAAGTGTATTCAATGTAGATTTTTAAAAGTCTATAAAAGTTTAGGCGTATTCAAAATTCCGTTCATTCTTATTGACTTCTAAAATCATGGATTCTCGTGGACTTTTAACTCATTCTTAGTACATTAATTCTCTGCAATTGTCTCTTCCCCTCACTAAAGATTTCCGTGGACTTTTCTTATTTCGGTTCTTCATCCCTTCCCACCCCATTCCTTCCCCCCCCCCCCCCCCAACTCTCTTCTTCTTCTTTAGCCAAGTCACTCATTCCTCTTCGATCTTTCTTCTTCTTCTTCTGCCCAGCTCGCCCCACCTCTCTCCTTCTCTTCTTCTTCTTCTTCTTCTTCTTCTTGAGCTTGCCCCACCCCACCCCCCTCGTTAATCCCATATCGATTCAGTTCTAGAAGTTTTTAAAAGAATCGATATAAACATCGATAGTATTATATCGGTGTCATTCAGGTACGTCGTCAGTTAACCATTAAGAAAATAAATATTATAACTATTACTTTCTTTCATCTTAAATCGCTAACACATAAAAATATAATTTCAAATTAATAAATATATTACCATAAATAAGTATACAAAACTTTACAAGATAGAAATAAAAACAAAACAAGTATTAAGAAGAAAAGCTTGATTGCATCTATGAGTGTACCACATGTAGCAATGGGTGTAACGATTAATGTTCTTACATACTCATTAATAAAATGACCAAAATTTTTGAGCATTCTTGAGTTTTGTGTTTAATACAAATAGATTTGAATTCTTATGTTTCATTTATTCTTGTAGAACAATGTGTTGCTATATGAATTTCATTTATTTATTTATTTATTTATTTATTTGTTTGTTTGTTTGTTTATTTGTTTGTTTGTTTGTTTGTTTGTTTGTTTCTTATAATACCTCACATTTTACAGAGAAAATTACTCACGGTAGGACTAAAACACACGGAGTATGTTTGATTTTGCTTAAGTATGACTAATCATTACATATTCACCCCTAATTTAATTAATTAATTGATATAATTAATTATCCCTAGTTCCCTTGCATAACCAAATCCATTTTATTGGTGGCGGACCAGTCTGATTACGACAACGGGGAACTCCGATGACAGAGGCGGACAAGTAGATCGGTAGAAGCGATCTAGGTGAAAATTCTGGTGACCAGCAGTGGCAGTTCACATTTAAAAGTCTATGGACTTCTTGAAAGTCAATAAACTTATCCATTGATTTAAAAGTTCATAGAATTCAATCATAAAAAAGTCTATGAATTTAAAAGTCTATCGACTTTTTTAAAAGTTCGTGGATTAAAAAAAGTTCATCACAATCCATATTCAATACGCCTCTCTTCATTTGTAATGATCAATCTCAACCAAATATTTAGAAGATGAACTCTTGTTGCACCCTTAAGACAATACCTCATATAATATAGACCAAATGTTCTATAATTCCATTTTTCATTTTATAAGAAAGATTTTACTAGTTTTGTATAATTTGATTTAATTTGAATCCCTTTTGTCGGATCAAGTTTGACTTTATATCTAGCTTACTTAATGGTGAAGTCAGAGATGAGCTCAAGGGGTTTTGCCGATCCAATTATGCATGTGTATATATCCAAGTACTATGTATTTTAGAATGCGCACATATAAGAAAGGTGAAATTCCAGAGTTCAATTTTTTTTATGGGCGCATGGAGATACGGAAGGCTGGTGCGGCGGGCCTCTAAGAAAAATTCACGATGCATGTATGTATGTATCTATATATGATGATTCTTCATGTCAGACCCGTCTAAACGGGCAGCTGACTGGCCGAGCTCGTTTGAGAGCCTTAATCAATGTTAACAATGTATGCAGTGGCGGAATCAGGACTCGTGACTCGCAGGGGCACAATAACAAAGAAATGATATACTAATCTAGAAAAAAATCATACGCATCACGAGTATAGCAATAAACAAAACTATAAAATTTAAATAAAATCACTGTTTTTGGAATGATCTGTTGCACTCATTAAAATCACTTTGTGGAAATTTAAAGTCACGCGGTTGGCAAGGACCTTTTCTCAAATAACGTCTCCTCAACTCATCTCTAATATTAACATCATAAGTCTCAACCGGCATAACTTTTCTGTTCAGCACTTTTCTGTCCGAACGCCGTCCGAACATCAACGTTTGGGGCGGTTCCCGGCGGAATATTTTGATGAAATTTTTTGAGCATGTTCCTCATCAAGTCTAGTTTATCCATACCAAACTTCAACTCAAAATTCGATCGGGAAGGCAGTCAAATAATTCGTTGAAGTTAACTGCGCCAAATTATACATAGAAAAACGCAGTTAACTTCAACGAATTATTTGACTGCCTTCCCGGTCGAATTTTGACCTCAAATTTGGTATGGATAAACTAGACTTGATGAGAAACATGCTCAAAAAATTTCATCAAAAACTTCCAATATATATATATATATATATATATATATATATATATATATATATATACATATATATAAATCACCGCAGGGGCACGGGCACCCCCTAGCCCTAGGGTGGGTCTCCAATGGATCATATCTGGACTTATGTAATGCCTAATGGTGATGTAGCAAGTAGTGGGTTTCTTTCACAACTTGATCAGAAAGGATCTTGGGGAAGGAAAAGGGACGCCATATCAACAAATTTTCTCTCTTAAAGTTACTTCTTCTTCTCTAAAATTAATTTCACAATCAGATCTTCTTTCTACTGCCTTTTAATTCATTCTTTTCTGATTAATTATAGTAAAATATACATGTCCTGGTGATACTAGCGATAAATAGTTCGGCCTAAAACTTCAAGCAGCCGACATCAAGCTCCACCAGTTTGATAACGGTGATTTCGTCCAATTTGGTAAAGCTATAGTTTTTAAGTAAACTCATCACCGAGAACTTGGAAGTAGATTTTGAAGCCGAATTCGGATCGGTTACGTTTCACGTGCAGCAAAATTTTTTCTGCTGATTTTTATATATTTTTAAAACAAAAAGGCTTATTACACGTAAACGTCTTTATGGGCACTGAACATTATGCATTGGACAATAATTTTGGATTCGACGGTTTATTTATATCACTCATATAGGACGGAAGATTATTCTATTTATTGATTACCATATGTCCAAATTTATTCTATGTTACCAATGTACCATTAAAGATGCTCTAAGAAACACTCTTCTCCAGCAATGGTGTGTTCGTTGCAAGGTATTCGAATCAAAAGAACTTTTTGCCCTACGAACGGGTCAATTCAAGGACAACCAAAGTTAGGGGTGGCCGGGTGGGCACGGTTCGGGACAGTCCAAATTTGTCTTATCCCAATCCCAGTCCGGTTTTATAATAACGGTCCAGTACGGTTCGGGATAAGTCTTTATCCTAATATTGTCCCATTTAAAACGGACCGGGACAACCTGAGAAAAACCAGAACAGTTCAGGACGTCCTATGAAATATGCATTTGTGAAATGTGATATAAAAATAAGCATAACATCAAAATAAAGACGTGTTTGGTGAAAAAGTTGACTGATAAGCCTTACAAGCCGAAAAACAATGTTACCAAACGACCTCATATTGTATCTATCTTTATATAATATAAAGTAACAGTGTGGCACAATAATTGGAGGGAAAAATTCCACCCAAAATGAAGACCTAATGGTAAATTAATGAGAGACTTAAATATGGTAATGCAATCCACCAAGTATTGATAAAAAAGAGAAAATGGTCAAATAAGGTCTTTTAATATTACAGAAACGTCATATAAGGCCATGTACTCAATAAAGTGTCATATAAATATGTCCACTTATAAAAACAATCAAATGAGTCCTAATAACCCATTGACAACCTTCTAATCCCGATTTCAGCTTACATGTCGTTATTAATTCCCTGTATTTAAACCAATTTTGGCTAAATATTCCATGTCAGTCTTATAATCTATTTTGAAAAGAAAGCCAGACATATGCTAAAATCGGGATTACGAGGCAATTGTACTCAATCATGCCAAGGAATACCTTAAGGGGCCGATTGTACGTTGTCATATCAGAGTCACCTCAAGGAGTGTGTTCAACATTCTTATATGTGATTAAGAGAGTCGTGCTATCAATTATAAAAAGTTTTTCTAAAAGCTATGATTCTTTTTATATAGTGCGTACATATAGCTTCCTTAGCCATTGAAGGAGACATTTAAATGATGAACCCATGGTATTTCATTATCAAGTAGTACTTATTCTTACCACTTAATTACCCTTTATTTTAAATTTACTTTCAATTTTTCATACGGTCAACATTTTCTATTTTCCTACAAATTACCATTATATGATCAAAGTTACAACATATCAGTTCTACTATATTTTTTTATTTAAAATAGTTGTATATTACGTATCATCATACTAAAAGTTAATTTTAAACAAGTTGTTATTCTTCTCTATATGTATCCGTGCATCGCACGAGTATTGCGTCTAGTTGAAATAGTATTCAATAATTGAAATTACTACAGTATTATCGTGACTTACGGTGTGTATTTAAGTATTAAATTTGTTTTGTCTTTATAGCATAAAATTCCGTATCCTACTCCACTGCACCATAATCAACAAAATCATCTTTGAACTCGCAAAATTAATCATCTCCTCTGTACTGTACCATTAACAAATAGAGGAAATGCATTGCATCTAATATAATATAGAAAAAATATACAGAACAGGAGTTAGTACAGTATGAATATTGAAGTTAAATATAAGTAGATATCGAACACCAGTTTTTGTTGCATGTTTTGTCGCATTGATTACTGTATTATTATATATGCGCATTTTTTGTGCGTTAATGGCAACATGGCTCTTGTTTGAAGGGAACATGCTATGTTGTACCTAGTGTAATTTCATTACTTTTATTCATACATGCTTTATTATTTATTACTCCATATCATTGTGTTATTTTATTTTTTTGTTATGATTTCCTTTTTACATACTCCGTAATTAATAAAATCGAGAGAATTAGAATGTTTGTACTTTGATTTATTCCAATCTTAGACCAGAACAGACTTAAACGAATCAGATCAGACTTTACTGAATCAAATCAGATTTCAACAATTGCAAAATACATAGAGATGATATATTGATCAGATCATACCAGAATAGTTTAGATCAGACTAGATTTAAACAAAACATATAAGACTAAAAAATTTCATTCTAGTGAGAACATCCATACGTGACATCCATACGAGCAAAATTTATCGAACCAAACACTTAAGTGCATAAACACACAATTTTTACTTTACTTTTTCACGTACAAGTTAAAATTAATATTAAAATGAAAAATGAATTGCGCTAAGAGAAAAAAGAATTATAAAAAGAAGTGAAAGTATGGTCAACTAAGACAATTTCATACAATAATACGGAGTAATAATTTTTACGAAGATTAGTTAGCTGTTAGCATCTTTTTCATTTTTTCTTTGTTGTGCGTCACCATATGAGAGGCTAGCCGCTAGAGCTAGTAACTAACTTTCCATGCAATGGTGAAAAATAAAATAAAATAATGGGAAGAAGGCGCTAATTACACATCACCACACACGCCCCCCCCCCCCTCCCCCTCTCTTTCTCCCACCACTGTACTAACATCCTCCATCTTATCATCCCTTCCTACCCAACCTTTCGCATTTTGCTACAAGCCTTCCTTTGCCCAACCCTTAGCGCCGCCCTCAACCAAGATTTCAGCCATTCTTGTAAGCCATATATTTATTCTTTTGGTTTCTTGCCTTTTAAATCTACAAAAGATCAAGTCTTTGGAGATATATTCCTCTATCGAAGAAATTCCGGTGGCCAGTTTTCTCAATTGAAGTATAAAAGCTGTTCTTGGTTGAATGAGAGAGAAGTCATGTGTGTAGATCTTAACTGGAATCATGAATCTATCTGGGTAGATTTTCATTCACTGCTTCTGGGTCTAAGTGATGCTGATTAGCTTGGGTTAATGTTTCCCCCCTTTTGGATGAGTTTCTGGGGATTTGTGCTCTGATCTGCTACTGCCGCAAGATTCCGACTTTCTCTTTCTTGATAGTTACTACTTTGGGTGTGTCAATCTGGCAGGCCTATAAATGGAGGCCAGGATTGGAGGCCAAGCTCAACTATTTTATAATTTAGGCTCAGCAGATTTGAGGGTTGTCGGGAAGAGGAGCCTGGATTGGGATCCATGTGATTGGAAATGGGACAGTCATCTTTTCCGCGCCACGCCTATCAATCCCAATCCATCAAATTTCCAAAGCAGGCAGTTTTTCCCGCTCCAAACAGGAATTTCCACATCCAACAGCTCCTCCTATTGCTCTGACGAAGTGAATATTGTGTCTGGGCAAGAGGTAAGGGGGTTTGAGAAGCGGCAAAGGGTTATTTTCGCAGAGGACGAAGATACCCTTGAAGGCGAGACGGGCAACCTCACCTTGAGGCTTGGGGAACATGGATCTCCTAGTGATGAAAGAGAAGGGCAAGCCTTGGATGGAACAATTGGGAAAAAGGTCAAGCTCTCTGGATCCACTTCAATCCGAGGTGCCGCTTGTCAAGTGGAGGATTGTGTGGCAGATCTCGGCAAAGCCAAAGACTACCACAGAAGGCATAAAGTTTGTGAAATGCATTCCAAGGCAACCAAGGCACTTGTGAGCAACATTATGCAGCGTTTCTGCCAACAGTGTAGTAGGTCAGTATATGAATTTTAATGTGCTCTCCAATCTCATAACTTCATTTTGATTGATCATTTCTGGAGAGACTGGCATGCTATTCACTTCTATCAAGATTTGTCTTTTCTAACTTTGTTACTCTAAATTCTCAATTTCTGAATAGTTATGTTCCTTTTCCTGCAAGTCTTTTGAAGTTGTAAATTAAAAATACGTCTGAAGTTCAGCATTCTATTGCCACACTAAGTTGCAGATCTTGCTTCTGCAAAAGACCTTTATTTTAGTGTCATCAAATTTATCTTGTATCTATAGGTTTCATGCGCTTGAAGAGTTCGATGATGGGAAGCGTAGTTGTCGAAGACGTTTAGCTGGTCATAATAAAAGGAGAAGGAAGACTCAACCAGAAACAGTTGCTAATAACAATGCAATGATTGATAACAATAATAGCCAAGCTACTAGTTATCTTTTGATGAGCTTATTTAAGATACTTGCCCACATGAACTGTAAGTAATCCTCTTTTTCCTCAATATATTTTAAGTTCACCATATTGTCTTATCATCAAACTTAGACGTTTATCAATGTTTTTTTAATACCATGATATTTATCTTATTTTTTTAACTGCAGCAAACACGGGGAGCTCCAAAGAGGACCAGAACATTCTCTCTCACCTACTAAAGAATCTTGTTAGCCAGGGTGCCTTGACCGGAGACAAAAGTATATCTGGCATTCTAAACGAGTCTTCGAATTTGCTGAGCAATGGACCCGCTTTTAGAGAGTCAGAATTAATATCTGCCTTGATCTCAAATGGGTCTCCGGCGTCTTCACCACCAAAAGAACAAGCTCCCACTGCTTCTGTGTCCAAGTTACCAATGGAAGCAGTTAGCATGTTTCCTAATGAAAGCAGTTCCTTGGCTACTGCATTGGGTCAGGAAAGTTCTGCTGGGAGGAGTAAATTGGCTGTTTTTGATTTAAATGACATTTATATTGATTCAGACGATGGCGTTGAAGATGTAGAGAGGTTGCCTGTCCCAGCTGATTTGGTTGCTGGCTCCCCGGAATGCCCATCGTGGGCACAAAAGGACTCTCATCAGTCAAGCCCACCTCAAGCAAGTGGGCATTCAGACTCAGGTTCCGCCCAATCACCGTCCAGTTCCAATGGAGATCCTCAGGTACAGTATATTTGTATTTGTTCCTACCTTTGCACCATTGGATTAGTCATTTTTTACTTAAAGCCATTAATGTATGTAATTTGTTATGTTGTAACATTGTAATAACTTTTTTTTTACCGTAGAGCCGCACTGATCGTATTGTTTTCAAACTATTTGGGAAAAATCCAAGTGACTTCCCATTTCTTTTACGTGCACAGGTACAATATTAAGCTCTTACGCACCTCTTTTTCTATTTCATATTTTTGGAGGTTGAGTGCCTTGCTCCTCATTCCCCACCAGTTCAATAACTTTTCTATTTTGATATTGAATGACAGATTCTGGATTGGCTATCTCACAGTCCTACTGACATGGAGAGCTACATTAAGCCTGGTTGTGTCATACTAACTGTATATCTTCGTCTACCTGAATCTTCTTGGGATGAGGTATGGTTGCTACATCAAAGCACAACTTTTAGACAATTTGTCTGCAACTACTTTATAACTTGTCAATATTTGGGCTTTTTATTGCTTTTGTAGCTTTGCTGCTGTTTGGGTTCCAGTTTAAGCAGACTTCTGGATGCCCCTGACGATAACAGTTTCTGGAGAGATGGATGGACTTATGTTAGAGTGCAGAACCAAATAGCATTCCTGTGCAGTGGTTTGTTCACATTATATGTTTCTTGGATAGTCTACTACTTTACTCCCATCCCCTGCCAAAGAATAGGAAATTATCTTTGTTTATTTCCTAGTTCATATTCTAAGATATTTTTTCAACTTTTCGAACTTTTCCTTGTTATAGGTCAAGTTGTAGTGGAAACTTCTCTGCCTTTCAAAAGTAATGAAAACAGCACAATTTTAAGTGTCAAGCCTATTGCTGTACCTGTGTCTGGGAAATCTCAAATCACAGTGAAAGGATTTAACTTATCTGGGCCCGCCACAAGGTATGATATATGTTACTTTCAAGCCACAGGCCTACAGCCTTTTTATATAGATTTATTTCTTCTGGGGTACAACTTTGCTTAAAATACAGTTTGTAGATAATCTATTGCTCCGACACAGCGATACTCTCCGTGAAGATGCAAATTTTAAAACTTTGTTGTGGTAAAGTACTTTTGCATAATTAAATAATCGAATGTTTTTCTGAAATCTCGATTTCCTCTCCCCAGGCTGCTCTGTGCAATAGAAGGCAACTATCTTGTTCCAGAGGCTAGTATAGAGACAACAGAACATAATGATAATGACCTTGAGCAGTGTGATATGGTTGAATATGTAAACCTTACATGTTCTTTTCCTGCAGCTGCTGGAAGAGGCTTCATAGAGGTGAGTTGTAGCTGTCTTTTTCTTTTTCCAGCCTTCTCATTTTATGTGAGCTTATACTTCTCGTGCCAAACGGAATCCAATATGTTTCTAATAGTACAAAGCAAGAGGGTATCCTTCAAATAAATGATGGTTCTGTTATCTTTGTTCATCCAGGTTGAAGGTAATGATCTTGGTAGCAACTTTTTTCCTTTTATAGTTGCTGAGCAGGACGTTTGCTCTGAAATATGTACACTTGAGAATGAGATTGAGTTGACTGAGAAAGATTATCTCGATGGGGAAGTTGATAAAATGGAAGTAAGAAATCAAGCCATGGATTTCCTATACGAATTGGGCTGGCTTCTTCATAGAAGCAATTTGAGATCACAATTGGGGGAATCGGAAGATCCTAGTGAGATGTGCTTCTCTTTAAACCGGTTTGCATGGCTTATGGAGTTTTCTGTGGACCATAATTGGTGTGCGGTTGTGAAAAAGCTGTTGGACATTCTTTTCAATGGGAGTGTGGGCAGTACAGATAATCCTTCCTCCTTGAAACTTGCCTTCTCTGAGACGAGTCTCCTTCACAAAGCAGTTAGGAGAAATTCAAGGTCTTTGGTGGAGCTGTTATTGAGATACACTCCGGATAAAGTGGCTGATGATCTAAGTGTGGAATATCGGGACCTGGTGGGAAATGAAAGTGGATATTTGTTCAAACCTAATGTTGCAGGTCCTTCAGGTTTGACACCTCTCCACGTTGCAGCAGGTATAGATGGATCTGAAGATGTAATTGATGCATTGACAGATGATCCTGGAAAGGTACTGGAACTCTTCTACTTAGAAATGGGCAGTCCCTTCTGTTTCACATTGACTAACGTTTTAAATTTTAACCTCACAAATTAGGGAACTCGTTAAGGTATGTTTGGATCCTAAATATTCTTCCAAAAGCGGGAAAATATGATCAGTAAAGTTTTTCACATGTATGGTTTTACCTTGGTAATTGTAAAGGAAAATGAAGCATGATTAATCATGTTTAAAATTCTACATTTAGGTTTCAGTCTTTAAATAATATGATATAAATAAAATGAGTATCACCAAATATTAAACTAGATTTGTTAAGTTTCAAGTCTTTTATTTTCCCATTAGTTTTCTTTCCTCTCTATTTTCTTCCCATGATATTTTCCAGATTCCAAACGGACCCTAAATATCCTAGATTATTGCCCAGAAAGTCAGGTATTAAATCTCCCTTAGGGGGGTTAATCCTAAAAGTTCAATCTGAGAAGAGGACTAGCTCTATGTCTATAGGTTTCTTTGATATATTTTATGTTTAGCTGATGCCAAACTACATCTAAACTATCCTTAATTAATAACCCTGCTTGAAACTGTTAGAAATGACTTTAACTCATGATTGAGATGGAAAAGAAGAATGGAAGTCGGTAATGAATGCTCTATTGATTTTATAAAATGACACGTGCAGTGGTGGTTCTCATAGACCTTTTATCTAACACGTTCATTACTACATGGAAACACATTTTTGGATGTTAACATGGGGGTTGTATGCAGGTGGGAATGGAAGCATGGAAGAACTCTCGCGATAATGCAGGGTTTACTCCAGAAGATTATGCCCGTCTGCGAGGGCATTACTCATACATCCATCTCGTCCAGCGAAAACTACTTAACAGGAAAGCTTCTACCACTGGCCATGTGGTAGTTGATATCCCCAGTGTTTTTTCTCTGGAAGGGAAATACAACTTGAAGCAAAACAATGGTGCGGGCACAAGCTTTGAGATTTCAAGGACTGATATGAAACCCATTCAGCAGCGGGCAGCGTGCCGGGTGTGTGATCAGAAGACAGTTCCATATCGAACCGGCAGCAGATCTTTGCTTTACAGGCCGGCCATGCTCTCGATGGTCGCAATTGCTGCGGTATGTGTTTGTGTCGCTCTTCTGTTCAAGAGCTTACCTGTCGTCAATAACTTGTATTGTCCCTTGAGTTGGGATTCTTTGGACTATGGTTCAATCTAATTTGGGGTTAGTGCACAGCCCACCAGTAGGACCACTGCTCCCTCCTTTGTATCTGTTGTGTATGCGTGAATAAACTGTATAACTGAGGTGTCCGTAGGAAATCCCCCCCCCCCTTAAATATACTCCTATATTTATGTCAGTGATGTATACCTGTATTTTTATTATTATTATGTTATATATGACGATATGATTGTTTTTTTGGCTTCCAGTTCAAGGTACCTATTTGTGCAGGCTTGTACTTTTTTCCTCGTTCAGTTTACTGGTGCATGTACTTTTTTTATATGATGTTTCAGACACACACACGCCACATCAAGATTGTATATGCTTTTTGGATTAAGAGGTGGATACAGAAGGATTCAGTTCCAATCTACATACACACACTCGCTAATGTCGGTTAACTGTTGCGGATTCCGGTTCTTGGTCTGGTTTTGGGCTGTCCCTTTCCAGAAAGTCGGGCTCTGTAAAAGAAATCGACTTCGGGATTAGAACTGACCAATTCCGGGACAATTTCAGATTAACGGGACCAGACCTCCCCTACTTGGGATACACACATAAGATTAGTTGGTATATTTGAACTAGGGGTGGACAGGCTGGCGCCAATGTTCTTTATGGTAAGAACCTTGACCAGAACCTACAATAGCAGCCCAGCTCTGGGATGGGTCGAATTGAGTGCTCTTGATTCAGTTATTAAAAAAAACTATTAAAAAAACCTTTGGCTACCGGAAACAGACCTGTTCAGTCTTATTTTAGAGATCAGAGAAACTGCAAGTGGACCCAAAAATAGCAAGTTCAATACTAGTTGCCCGGTTAAAAACCAGTATTTCCCGATTTAGAATGGGACTGTACAACACAGATTTGAGCCATTACATATTTACATCTATATAGGTGCAGTGCACTGATCTATCATTTTTGTAATTTACAGACATATTAATATTTAATATATAAAGAGTCATGTTAAAAAACTCTAAATACACACTGTAATTGTGTGTATGCTTATAAGCATGCCATAGCAATGGATCACCAATAATGTACCTTATCCAGAGGCAGGTGTGTAACAAGAAAGATATGCATCCAAATGTAATTCCATCTATAAATATAAAAACACACCCATAATATGGAATATTACGCATTTATGCCAAAGGCCAAACATATAATTGTAAGCCTATCTACAAATTAGTAAAAGACCAGACACTTGCATCAACATATGGAGGCCAGTGAAGGAGAAGAATTGATGAAGGCAGCAGTTGAGGCGGAGTACTGTGTGACAGGAGGCACAGGTCTGATAGGGGCTTACCTGGTGAAGGCCCTTTTGGAGAAGGGATACAAAGTAAGAACAACCGTCCGCGACCCTGAAAATGAGAAGAAGGTCGGGTTTCTACGGGATCTGAATGGCGGAGCTTCGCAAGAAGGGAGGCTCAAGATTTTGAAAGCTGATGTGATGGTGGAAGGAAGTCTGGATGATGCTTTTGACGGAGTGGATGGGGTTTTCCACACTGCTTCACCTGTGCTTGTCCCATATGATGGCAACCTCAAAACGACACTGATCGATCCCTCCGTGAAGGGCACCTTAAATGTCCTCAACTCTTGTTGCAGATCAAAGGTGAAAAGGGTAGTCCTAACCTCCTCCTGCTCCTGCATCAGATACTGCCATGATGCCACCGAGCTCTCCCCCCTCAATGAATCTCATTGGTCCGACCTCGACTACTGTAAAAGCTACAATGTACGTACTCACATACACATATATTTACTCCTCCCTATTTCATTTTCTACTTCAAAAGCTGCGGTGATGCAGCTGCGTTATGGTTATATAAAACGTAAGTAGTCCTAGAGCAATTTCCATAATTTAGTACCAAATTGGATGCAGCTGTGGTATGGTTACGCGAAGACGCTAGCAGAGCAAGAAGCGTGGAAATGGGCGGCAGATCAAGAAAGCGGGAAGAAGACAGAGTTGGTGGTGGTCAATCCGTCTTTCATCGTCGGTCCTTTACTCACTCCTCAACCTACCAGTACACTGCAACTCCTTCTCGCGGTGGTCAAAGGCGTCGCGGGAGAATACCCCAACAAAACTGTGGGGTTTGTGCATATTGAAGACGCCGTGAAAGCCCATTTGTTGGCCATGGAGATGCCCTGTGCCGCCGGCTGCAGGCTCATTTGTTCCGGCGCCGTCGCTCACTTCTCTCAGATCATTCAGATGTTGAGGACTAAATACCCATCATATCCTTATGAAACCAAGTATTAATAGTTGGAGTGTTTCATTATCATGGTTAATTTAGGGAGATTTGAAATTTTCGCCCATAACGTTAGTCATTTGCAAATTCCCCCCCTGTAAGTAATAAAACTTTGCGATTTAAGGACTTTTCTAACGAAAAATACACTTTCCGGTACAAAAATCTGAAGCAAGCTGCATCTCTTCCGGCATACTTTCGCTAGAAAGTGTACTTTTCAAGGCGGAAGTCTTTAAATCGCAAAGACTTGTTAGTTATAGGATCAAATTTGCAAATGACTAAAATTACGGGACTAATAATGAAAACGACTAAAAGTTACGGGACGAAAATTGTAAATCTTACTTAATTTATTATAGTGAGGCAAATCATTTTTATGTGATATGTATATGATATATGATTGGTGTTTTGCAGGTGTAGCAAACAACAAGGAGATGACAGCCCACACAGTTTAGACTGCACCAAAATAATGGAGCTGGGCTTTCCAGCTCCTTTTAAAACTCTGTCACAGATGCTTGATGATTTCATCCTTAGCTTCCAGCAGAAGGGCTTCCTCTCATGATTTTATTTAATCCTTGATTGGCTTTCCAGAGAAGTTCAAATAATTGAATACCATATCTATACATTTTCTTAAAACAAGAAATCTCTCTGTTGTAATTCATTTCCTCAAATAGAAACCATCCATTGTTAAAGGAAATTTTAGTTGATTTGCTCTTTTATTTGGACTAGAAACAATCCATACCTTTTTTTTCTTTTCTACACCAAACATTCAATCGTACTCTTGATGCAGGAAAAGTTATCTAAGTCACCAAAAAATCGTCTTCTAATTGTATGTTTGGCGGTCAATGGTAGTGGCAATCAACGGAAGCGATATACTATAAGTGCCATATATTGTATTTTTCTAATATTTAATAAATAGTCATAATTTGTCTATGAGTATATTTTTAGTCATATTTGAGGAAACTCTTAAAGCTTTTCTTTGATTAAAAACCACAAATCATTAATAATTAAAAGGAAAAATTGATTATAATAATCTCAACCATTGGCGGTCCGCTTATAATAATCCCAACTATCGATTATTTCAAAATAATCTCAATTTTAGGGACCTTCTGCCAATAATAGTCCATGTAAATAAGTTTATGTACTTTCTAAAGTGGATGAGAAGAGATATAGCAAGTAATCCCTATAAATTATCCCTAACTTTTAATTTTTAAGCTTAATTTCTATTAAAAATTCACTTTTATAGAAGGTAATATTTGTCGTGGACCATTATTGGCGGACGGTCCAAATAGTTAGGATTATAAAAAAATAATCAATAGTTGGGATTATTGTTAGCGGACCGACAATAGTTGGGATTATTATTTTCAATTTTTCCTAATTAAAATAAGTGTTGTAAATTTTTGGGGACACTAATCCAATTCCAAACCCTTGTAATAGACAAATGGCTAAGTTTAATGTTGTCGATAAATTATGTAGAATCATTCTTTGATGATTCATCTCCTAGTCAACCAGTATAAATAGGATGATCAATCCTTTGTAAATGTAACTCAGAAATTTCATATTAAAAAGAAGTAATTTAGAGGTTATATATATATAAACATGAATATGCTCAAAACCTTCAAGAAATCATCTTCATGCAGGTATGAACCCCATAAATGCATATTCATCTTCTTATTAAATGAAAACATAATCTTATATATGTACATACCTTTAAAATATATCAACTTCTTCAATCTGGACACTCTATGTTCGTACAAGAAGAAGAAAATTGTAATACTCTAACTTTATTACTCCATAATAAGAAGTATGTAAAATAATAAGGAACGTGAAAACTAAATTAGAAAAGTTCATGACATATACGCACATACTAAAGAGGAGAAGAATAAACTACCTAGTAGCTTTATAATAAATACTCTCAATTTTCAAATTGGAAATTAAACTGATGTTCGTTTACCTACTAGCTAAATACGGAGTATATAAGGTGTATACATAGTCACGGGTATACAAATGAACAAACAATAAGTAATTAAAATGATTAGACTTTACTCAACCTGCATAAATTTAATAAAGAGTTTTGCTAGAGATACTCAAAATTATCCCATTTTTACCCCACTTTCTAATGTGTGCCCATAAATGGGGCAATTCATTTAAGTGATGCCACACTTAAATGAATTGCTCCATTTATAGCCACACATTAGGGGTGTAGTAAAAATGGAGTTCATTTTAGCTACCTTTAGCATTTCTGTTTAATAAAATCACGGGTAGTATAAAAACAAAATCAACCGTTAGATTGAATTCTAAAAGTAAAGCCGTTCCGCACAAAATCATCCGTTAGGTTTAATAAAATTTACTGGCATGGTTACTGCTTAGGCAAAGACCATTTTTATTTTACTAGTACAAAATTTATATGTACTCCGTGAAATAAGTATAATACTCGACCTGAGTAAAGATAATGATGAATATCAAGAAAAGTTATTTAATCAATAATTAAACACTATGTACTCACGTAAACGAAAAGGTGGTATTAAGAGTCAAGGACATTTTGGGATGTTTTTATTTGGACTGTTTTTAGTCCCAGACCAGATTTAAACACACCAGACCAGACCAGACTTAAACAGATCGGACTAGATCAGACCAGACTTAAATAGACCAGATCAGATCAGACTTGACTTCCGTAGTTATAAAATACATAGAGACCAGTCGTTTACCAGACCAGACAAAACCAGTTCAGACTAGACTAGACTAGACCAGACCAGACCAGACCAGACCACACTTAAACAGACCAGACTAAACTAGACTAGAATTAGACAGGCTAGACCAGATCAACAAATTACAATTCAAATAAAAACATCCTTAGTAAAAGTTATTACTTCAATTTTTAAATATGATTCAGTTTAGTCCGTATCTATTAATACAATCAGAAACTTTTATGAAACAAATAATGTTCTTATATACATTTTTACTAATTCATTTTACACCGATAATTCTTGTAGTACAATGACAAATATAAGCACAAGAGAATACATACTTGA